GAATGTAGCCGGGAAATCACCCTCGCCATCTGCTCTAGAGCTAATCGTGTGGGGCGGCGTGTGGGGCGCCGCTTAGCCTATGGGGGTGCACTTCTGGTGGGTGGGGGACGGGGGTGCACCTGCACCCCTTTCATATGGAAAGTTACTTCCCTGATTACAGCTCCCCGTATTGCACCTAATCAGGGAACGGCCAGCAAACGAAGGAACTATTTCTGGATGACAGGTGAACAACCGCTCACGCAAGGAGCGGAGCTCCGCCCCGTCCAAAGTGGCCAACAAAGCAGAGACAGAGGCAGCATCACATCTTCCATCAAAGAACTGGTTTCTGGCTTGGAAGATGAGCTCCATCTTTGTATCCGAGTCGGTGCTGTCAGGAATCAGCTGGTCTAATGGAGTGAGAGTAGTGAGACGACTAGCTATTGTATCAGAGCTGCCTGGTCTTCGTAGCATTTGCACCGATTCTTCTCGATCGGACTCTGAATTCTGTCCCTCCTGCGTATTACTTGAGGCATAGCTATGTAGCTAAGTCTTTGGCAGAGTTTCATTATCCATGCTTTGCAAACAGTGCCATAACAACACAGTTAATTAATCACCAAGCTGTTTTGCAAGTTCCAATACAGTTGAATCGCACGCGATTTGAGTGCAAAATCAAGAAAAGTGCCAACTTGTTCCCGTAAAATATTTTGAATATTGACCTAAAAAAATGAGTAATTTCCAGATAAAATAACAGCGAAATCAGTTTTCGCTTGCCAATAACACTCACAGATATTGAAGCTCCATTATTAAAGGAACATTTTAGTATATGCCATTCTTTATAAAACTTCTTAGCCACGCAATACCAGCGCAAAATAAAGAGACACTGAAAACACGACCAATCACTCCGATTTACCAAAGGAAAATACATAGACAATGTATGTCTCAACTGCGCCAAATATACAGACAGTTATATACCTACATGTGACGTCATGATTAGCCCGACCAATCAGAAGCAAGTTGTTTTCAGCCACAAATAATTAATTTCTGAACTAACTAGGCATTTTTTTAACAAAGTGATTTTAAATTAAATCATTAAAAATTCTGAGCTTTTTTATTTTACCAAAACATACAGAGCATGCAGATAGGTCCCAACCCTATTATCGCGTGTTTGTTACGAGTCGTCATTCGGAATACTTCGGCTGTGAGGGCGCCAAGAGCGTTTTCAAGGTACGCGTTCCTTGTACTACATGCGCCTTTGCAGCTGCATTTCTTACTCATTATGCTACCGTTTGTCTGGCCAATTCGGTCAAGTAATCTTCAGCATGTCTTTGCATAAGTGTGCTGCCTATTTGAAATTTATATGGCACGTTGAAAAGTTATGGGCCTGCAAATGAAAGTATGGCTGGCTGGGGTAATGCCGAAAACGTGCAATTACGCACGTTAAAGCACGCTACGTGGACTTTACTGCTGTAGAATAGTAACGCGAATTTTTAGTCACACAAATTACACTTTCAACCGACACAACGGCCTGTTACCTATAAGGAATTATTTACCTGGCATTTTCTTATTATATCACACAATTATAACTTCCAGTGTGCACCAAGCGTCCTCAAGCTTTCAGCGTTTCAGCTTTGATAAATTCTGGATAAAGTTTGAGATAAAGTGGCAAAACATCAATGTCGGCATTCCCCGTAGATCATTTCTCCCAATTTCGGCTTTCCCCGCAGTCCGGGGCAACGCCGAAAAAGTCACTTCTTTGATATTTTTAGTTTGTGCGCTTAACGGTATGCGAATTCATCAAATGCGCCTGGTATGTTTGAAAGGCAAAAGACTGGCCTCTCGAATGACGCCAACAAGAATAGCTTATGTTGTCTACCTTGCGTGCTACGGACGTCAGAAAAAAAAGTATTCGGCGTTCCCCCAACTTCCCCTACATACAAGTCTCAATGATTGTGTTTTGCATTCTGCAATATTCCCGTGTAAGCGAATCTTTCAAGCATCCAACACATTATAAAATTAAAAAATAATAATGGAACATTAATTAACACTTCATATCATCTGCATGAAAAACAAATGTAAATATATACACAAACAAACGCACAGGAAATAACGAAAGGTCGCTCATATACCTGCACACTCGCAGTGACCGACGATTAACGCGAGATCGACTGGGGGAGGCGGGGGGGGGGGGGGGGTCGTTGAACCGACGTTCCGTTCATGGCCATAAGTTCGACCTCATCCACGACCAGACGGCGTTTAGTGATAGACGGAACCGGAGACCGCGTGATGTTGTCGTAGTTGTCCTCCATTGTAAGTGGTAGTCGACGGAAGAACTGACCAGGCCCCATGCCTGGAGCAAAAAAAAACTGGATCAGTTCCAAGTTTTTTTTTCTGTTGGGAGCTATTTTCGCAAACAACACAACTTTCCTTCAGACCAAGAAGCGCGATTTGCCAGAGTCGGAATATGAAGCACTTAAACAATATAAGATAATGTCAAAAGATACAACGTGTCAGACTCACCAAAGTCGATCAACGTCGGTGTCGGTGGCATGTGTCGGTGGCAAATGCTCATGTACCACCCGGCCCCGGAGCACTTCACTTCACTTCACTGCACTGCTGCACTGCACTTCCCTCCACCTAACTGCCTCCCGGAGCAGGGGCACGCACTCCCATGCCACGCACGACGGATTCCACCGATAATAGCTGATTTAAGCTATCATTCCAGAGCTATCACTCGGTGGCATGTGCCCAGAGCACTTCACTTCACTTCATTTCACTTCATATACCGGAGCACGTGCACACACTCCCACCACGACCAACGGACTCCACTAAAATGGCGCAACACGTGGCCGGAAACAGCTGGCACGCGCATGCGCATATCGCTCTGCGCCGTCAAAACGTGCTAAAGGGCTGGTGAGGTGCCGCCTGAGGCGGCGGCCGAACAGTGCGGAGGTAGCGCCGCGGCAGGTCGGGCGGCAGCGCGTTATAAGCGGCCGGCCCGCGGCACTGAAACCGCCTCCTTCCCATCTCGGTGCGGCACCGCGGCGCGGCACGTGGAGCAGGTGGTCCTGTCGCGTGACCACGTCTCTAGACAATTTCTGAGTCGCTCGCTCTCGGGCCGCTCAGCATCATGTCGGGCATCTGACAATGATGTCGGGCCGTCCAAAACTCATATATACCACCCTCCAAAATCACGTTTCTGTACTATTGGTAACTGTTCAAATTTGCCCCTATCAACTTTTGTTAACTCGCGCCCCCACAGGTGGTCCTGGATTTCCACGCCCTTCAGGGGGGGGGGGGGGGGGTTGAACACCCTCCCCTTCTAACTCGGCTCCTGGGCCATGTAGCGATATGCGGAAGGCGACGTTCGAATTTCGAAAGAGCGCCAAAAATAATGACGAAGTAACTACGGTCAAATTTGTGGTCAGGTGAAAGTTCAGGTCATCAGAGGTCATTGAAAGCAAAATTTCGCCGACTTTCAGGTCGAATGTCGACTATTTGACTATTTCCAAGAAGCCAACGCATAACTCGGGAACCAATACCACAGCTACAGCGCCGCGGAAAAGCGCATTCGATAGCCCCATTAAAGGGACCCTCCCACCTTCGAAAAAGTTTATGAATTGGCATGAAAGTGATGTCGCTCGGTTCAGAAAGAGCGAAAACGAATATCTACCAAATTTCACCGAAAAATATTCACCGGTTTTCAAGATATTAGACTTTTACTTTTGTTTACTTTTTTGGGATCCCGCTGTTTCTAGCGACTTTATTTTAGAAGTGCGGCGTTTGCGGCAGATGTTGCGCGCAAATAGCATATACCACCGCGTGCTACAAAACGTTTTAGTCAAACATTTAAAAATCGTTAGATATTTGCGCTGACGTCACACATTCAGAGGGGTATTCCTAAGCATTGGCCCCTCTGAATCAAAATGCTGCAATTTTGAAATTCAATATTTCCGATTTAAGGCATTTCTCGATGCTGTGAGTGCCAAAACCGGTAATTGTGAGCCAGGGACCCCATTTTGGCTATCTCAACTCAAATCTAATGTTAAGGTGGGAGGGTCCCTTTAACGATCCTTCTGGATATCTTATTTTCAGATTTGATCTAGCGCAAACGATTTGGCCTGAAGGGGCAAAAAGTGACAAAATAGCTGATTTTTTTCGGAAACAGTGCTTATGCAATTACTTTTGACTCAAGCCTTGCACGAGTGTACTTTCACCGTCATCGTGTTCCTCTCGGCAAGACGCATCGAATTAAATATATACGAGTATGTAATTCGACCTTGTAAGTCAATTTGAAAATTAGACCTCAAGTCAAGGTCATGACCTTTGCGAAAATGGTCATGTTGCATATCAATCGATCCTTTATATCGTCGAGCTGAGCACACCTATGGCGTTTTCATCGCTCTGAGCATGCCTCTATCAAAAGTTGTTCGCGGAACAACTGATAGATACTATTCGTGACCTGAGATGACCTCAGTGGCATAAACAGGGGTCACTGATACCATTTCATGTTCAGTGTATCAAGTTGCTTGTAATTCAGTGTTTGAGTGTTTATAATGGCTTTCGTCCAAAGGCCTTTCAATTCTCTCCCATTGACTTACCTATACCTACCTGATCTAAGTAATGGGGAGGTACCAAAAATGACCTGACCTTAGGTCACCGATATCAATATTCCGAGATATTTTAAATACTATTGCTCTTATCAATCGCTGAAAGGTTCAAGCGATCGGTCACTCAATGTAGCTATGGCAGACATTTAAACTTTTTATGAGGTGAGGTCACTTGAAGTGACCTAGTGACCTGACCCTGAATGACCTTGGTCTGTAATTTTCACAACATGTGTAGAATTGATGTATGATGGGGTGCATGCTTCCGCGCCGCAGTTTTTTATATTCGCGAAAAACCACAGGGTTCAATTAGGGTGTGCAAACAACCTGGTTAATTATGTGCCTGGATGGGAAGATTTTAGCTTGAGCTTGCCCTATCTCTTGGTATCACTTACCTAACCAATTTCTTCCTTGCAGATGTATGCTGCCCAGGACGCCGTTATTGGTGCCAAGATATTCTCCAAACGTCATGGAAAGGTCAACATAGATAATGCCATCGACCAAAAATATTCCAGTAAAACTCAATCGCGGAGGGTAAGTGTATTTAATATTTATTCCCTCGCAAAAATGATGATAGCAGGGAACAATGTCGCGGGTACAGGAGTGTATATCCAGGTATTAAGTGGCTGGTTGCCAACATCAAAATAATCGATCTGCATTGATGAATACGTCTAATGGCTGTTGAAAACCACTGCCGAAATGTGTGCACGGACCATAGGCGCGGGAGCCGGGGGGCAGTGGGGGCAGCTTGCCCCCCCAACTTTGGGGCCGTGGGGGCGGTGCCCCCACAGCTTTGAGACGGAATACCATACTTTTTTTGCAAATGTTTTCTTTTTTTGTTGAAAAAGCCGAGGGGTGAAAAATAAGTGGCCTAAAACCGGCGAGAAAACTAGATTTGGGGATACCCTAGGTTGATCTCTATTATGGTGTGCCCCCCCAGTCGGAAAGAAGTTCCCGCGCCCCTGGCACGGACCCTCTTTTCATTTCTATTGAGTCATTTTACAGGAGTGTCTCTGTCATTTAAAGTTATTACACCAAAAGCACATAGGCTAACCAACCACTGTTTTGCTCGAGGGCCGTGCATCGTATTAGAAGGATAACTACCTATTGGTATTTAAGGCATCGTTGACGAGGACGTCAACGATATATGTAACCGTTGTAACCGATTGTTATCGTTATGTAATAACGGTTATGTATAATAACGGTCACAAACTGAGAGCTCATGAGAAAACGTCTGAAGAAAAACGGAGTCAAACGAGCTGGAAAGATGAACACATGAGATGATGAGGAGAAGGAATGGACAAGGGATTGGTAGAAGATTTTGAAGGAATCCATGGAATATAAAGGCGTGATAAGATTCTGTGTTAAATCGAGACATTTTGTGAGAGGAAGCCTATACGTACGTCTCAGATACGTACAAAGGTATAACATACATCATACAAATCTAACTATGATCTCAATCGCCCTGGGACTAAATGTGTACCTATGCGATTGACGGTTTCAGTAAACTGTAAAAGCTTATTATGTGAAACCAGTAAAACGCCTTTTGGGGCGACCAACGGAGCGAGCGAGAGGGTGCAGGTCTTGCACGTGCGAAATCGCGAGGGGGTACCTCCAACTGACTCGTGCACGGCACCCTACTAACCGGTCCCTAACGATGTGCCGAATTTGAGCACAATCGGCCCAGCCGTTCTGGAGATCTGGAAGCGCGGCACTCTGCACGTGCGCACGTGCAAAATGGGTCCCAACTGACTTTTGCACGGCACCCTTCTAACCGATCTTAACCGCGTACCAAATTTGAGCGCATTCGGTCCAGCCGTTCTCGACATCTGGAATCAACCCCTGCACGTGCGCACGTGCAGCAGCACCCAAACTGTGACACATGCAAATGCATCGCCTATAGAGGGTGCCTACCTGCATGCCAAGTTTCAGCGCAATCGGCCCAGTAGTTACCGAAATATTGCAATTGTTACTGACACATCATCGGTTTGCACGTGGCACGTGCATGAGGGGTCACCCACATGCATCGGGAATAGTCCAATACTTAGTAGAAGGAATGAAGCTACCCTCATACAAAAATTACCGCATGTTCATCGGTCAAGTGGTTGCTGAAATATAAACCTCGCAAAAGCGTCCGCACGGCCGGCCGGCCGGCTCTCCGTAAGTCGCCCCAAAAGGCGTTATACTGGTTGTAGCGAGCCAGTGAGTTACCCATCTATATAATTGTGTCCTTTCAGGATGCTTCTCCTGCATGCGATGATGATGAAGAGTGCGACGGATGTGGCATCTTGAAGGCAGTCAAGACACTGAAGACTCCAAAGCTTGTTCCAGTTAAATACGAAAAGCTGCTGCCAGGTAATATGTGGGTCATGACAACTCATCGATCACATACGTATTGATCAGTTGGCTAAATGTAGGTGTTGGCCCCAAACAGCGGGTTCTTGAACGCTGAAGGGAGTATTCTTAGTCAGACATAAGGAATGCTTCATCGCCTTCATGAGAAGAAAGTAGGCAATAACCGCTAAGTGAACAATGAACATAGCAATTTGTTATGGTCACTAAGGTCATTCTGGTAAAGTAACTTTGTTAAATTACTTCCAGGTCCGCTGAAAAACTGGGATACGTCCATGCTCTTCTGCGGGAACTGTCAGAAGACGTGGTTTGAACGACAGCGTGAGACACAGCAGTCCCTTGACGTAGCGCAGTGGAATAGGTAAAGTGTTTTATTAAAGATGTGTTGTGTGATCACTCTAAATACATAGTATTATATGTAGTATTATTCTAAGTGCCTGATTCTTCTAATCAGTGCATGCAAGGTAATAGGTATATTGAATGAGGGACTGCATGCAGTTAACCCTAGAACGCCTAGGGGGGGGGGGGTTGTATCAACCCCCCCCTGAGGTTTTTTTTTGAAGTGCACGCTAAACGGCTTGTCGTAGCGGGCTGAAATTTTCAATACCCTCTGGGGCAACCTTTGCGCATTTTTTGCCGAAAAAAATTGATCGGGTCATGTCAGGTCACGGAGTTATGACGTCATAAGAGGTACAGCCTCTGGCCGACAGTTACCAAACGTGTGCGCCGAATCCCTAGGTTTTCTGCCGGTGATACCCACATTGTTTGATGGATCATGATGAAACTTCCCATGCATGTTGGGGCAAGCATTGGCTATCGTGTGGTGTAAGAAAATTGACCGGGTCAGGTCAGGTCACGGAGCTATGACGTCACAAGAGGAACAGCGTCCGGTACTATTTTTGAAAAGCGCCCGAACCACTATTTTGCTAATTCTTGTCACCTCAATGGGAATATGCAGCAATATTAGCTTCTATAGGGAGCAAATGGACCACCCAAATCCAAAAATACAATCATATTTCAAAAATTTAAATTTTGATTTTTCGAATTTCTGCCGCCGACTGTGACCTTGCCGACTTCCGGCGCTCCCAACGCGCCATTTTTAGAGCTAGGGAAACGAAATACATACCAAACGATAGAGAATTGATCAAGGAACACGATAGTGAAGGTTTCAAGTCGATATCTCCCACCGTTTTGCCGCAATCGCCGCGGAAAGTTGAAAAAGTTTGATTTTTTTCGGAAAATTTGACCTTTGACCGGTCATAAGTAGGTCAAATGTTGACCTATGACCAAAAAATATACCACCAATCGCGAGATCTCGTTGAGAGCAATCCGTTGTTTTTTTCCGCTAAGCTCTACGACCTTCTGTTTCGAAACGCCAGGGGGGGTCGTAACCCCCCCCCCCCTGGTCGTTCGTGTTATGAGAAATGGCCTGGTCGTGCGAGGGAAAATGATTCACCTTGCTGTACGCTGATCGTATAATGTATATGTTACAGGGAGTATGCGATTTCAGTTAGTTTGCAACGACCCTAGGGTGGTTGTAACCTCCCTGAACGATCAGTTTGTTTGCAACGACCCTAGGGACGTTACAAAATAACTGCTCGTTCCGGGACGTTGTAACGAAACTAGGGTCGTTGCAACCTCCCTAGTTAGTATGCAACGAACCTAGGTTTGTTACAAAATAACTAGGGAGTTTAAGAATTCATCGAGTCTCGTTTCACAGGAGGGCCGTCAACAATCTTGTCCAATGAATAATGAATATCTTGTTCAATCTAGTTCATTTTAAAAGAAAAGGAGAACAAAATTTGAACATTCAGCTCCGGAGTATGTATAGGTGGTGCCCGGGACAAAGCACGTAACTGTGATTATTTTGACTGCATTATATCGCCAGCATATGCTTACATGTAGAAAATAAAGTTACTGTGATAGGTGTGATAGATATCCGTCGCTATTCGTGAGCGGGTTATCCCTCACACTTTAAGGGGTGCGGGTGTGATAAAACCCTTCGTTTTTTCGCGATTATCTCGCGCTAAAAGCGGCCGATCGTGACGCAACTTTGAGTGTCCTCGAACTTGTCTATACGTTACTGGTTACACATTCCCTATACAGTTCATGATCCTGAAACCAATGACCTTTGACCTTTGATCTGATTTCTGAGACCATGGCAGACCGAAATGATTTGCCGTTTATGTTAGCGCGCATAAAGTTGCGTTTCCAGACTTCTATTGTGACTACATATAAACGTGCCAACATGTGAACTGATGGTTGTCCCATGCATCATGATGGGTTTCAAGTTGACTTGTCAGTTGTCGGCCAGGTCAAGGTCATTGACCTTTGGTGACTTCGGATGACTGTTTCAAATTTTACGATTTTAAGGGATTTTTTTAAAGCTTATTTCGAATCCAGCATTCGTTGAGACATTTGAGAAGTATGTGTAGTTTTGGTGCCAATGCCTCTTGCTACGAAGCTCTCGCTGGTGGTTTAGGTACACCTGCTATAAACAGGTGGTGCGGGTGGGACGCCTACTACTTTTTTTTTGTTGGGTTAGGCCCTTTCGGTCCAATTAGACCATCTCAGAGCCGGAAGGATGTTAGGAATTAGGGGGAGACATTGGTCTGGGCAGGCACCCTAGTGAGTCACCGGGGCTGAGCCCATCCCGAAGGACAGGCCGATCAGCCCCAAGGTACTCACTGCACCCGGCTACGGGGTGCGCTCCCTCGGGAGCAGCGGTGCCGCTCCTAAGGAGCAGCCCGCATGAGATAAAGTTGCCTGTCCAGCCCGGCGAGGGGTTGCGGCGTGGAGGAGAAGGATTTCAGTATCCTGAGGATAGAAGCATGGAACGGTGGCCTACCACTTGACCCAAACTTACCCAACCCAGCGTAGCTTAATCCTCGCCCCCCCCCCCACTAGTTTTTTTTTTCGCGATAGCTCCGAACACGCTAGCAACAGAGAGCTGAGACTAGGCATACCTGACCTTTGATTCAAGCCGGATCTTGTGACACCAACCATATTTTCAGGTCAGGTCAGGGTACTGACCTATGACGTCATAAGTGAACGGTCCTCAGATGCCGCAATTTCGCAGCGCCCTCAGTCCCAGAGGAGCTTTTACAGGGAGATGAAACTTACAGTACGTGCATCTTTTAGAAGTCTCACTAGGATTTTCCTAAAGATCACTTGAGGTCAGGTCGGTCACGTGACATCACCAGTCACCACTACAAGTCAATTGAGAAAAATGAAAACTGCTATTCTGGCGCCGGGAACGATCTCAAACTATCTCAAGCACACGGATCGTAATTTCATGCACTCCTTGCAAGGTTAGATGCTTCGATTTTGCATTGGTGACGTTGCGTGACGTCATTTATGACGTCACTAGGGTCATACGAGCTTTTCGTCAATAACTCCCGATCAAACTGAGCTAGCGAGTCGGTCAAGCCACCAATGGACTGAGGGAAACCTGCCGAATCGAATAATATGCAACATGACCTCTTTTGACCAATTTCGCAACCTAGGGGTCTCTGACCTGACCTTGACCCGAGGTCAACACCTCAAGTTAACCTCCCCCGAACAAAAAGTATACCATTCGACGCGCCTGAGCAAGGCGAGCACGTTGATGCTAAAATCGCGTTTTACGACTGTTTTTTAAGAAGTTATTTATCAAAAACCGAACCCGCGTCTTGGGTCACTTGATCTGACCTCAGAGGTCACCGGTTGACCTGAGACCTTAAAATCGGGTACTAGTTGCTGTGTCTCCTAACGGCACACACGCTCGTTTTTTTCCTGCGACGCTCTAACTCCAAAAGGGGGGAAAAATGACAATGGGGTCGTACCAAACCTCCCCCGGCCGGCGCGTATGTAGAAAACCAACAGGTCCGGCGGGGTTAACTCTCGCCCTTATTGGTGTTTTGCTAGCCGCAAACGTACAGGGCGAGGCTAGGTATTGGTTGACCTTCCAGGTCAGGTCAGTGACTTAAAAGTCGGGAAAATCGGGACCTGTTCAAACTTTGGAGAATTAGGTTGTTATGAGGTTTTTCGGAGCGCTGATCACGAATTTCATGTCAACTTTGATCACCGATGACGTCTTGATGTTTTTAGGCCAGATCAGGTCAGGTCAGGTCAACCAGTAGGCGTCTTGCTAGCTGTCCATAGTAGGTGTCAACCACCGCTGACAGCTTCGTGATATGGTACGAACTACGAAGGCGCCAAAATTACTTCGTAAATGTTTAAATGGATGCTGAATTCGAAATCAGCTCCAAAAACTAGCCTAGAATATATGAACCCAGAGGAAGTGAACCAAGGTCATCAAAGGTCAATGACCTTGACCTGACCTTCACGTGACCTTAATGACACCCACCATAATGCATGGGACCATGCCATCATTTCACATGTTTGAACGTTTACAATCACAAAAAGACTGGAAACGAGCGGATAATAGCCCGCGACCGCCTGGGGGGGGGGTCGGATCCGACCCCCCCCCCCCTCCGTTTTTCTTGAATAACTCATGAACCACTTTCGCTATCTACTTGAAACTTGGCATACCTTCTCCCCTATCAATTTGACGTCTCCTGTGCAATTTTTAAGAAAAAATTTCCAAATTTTTTTGAGATATATCGATTTTAGTGATGTAACTACATGGCGTTTTTAGTCAAAAAGTGGTAAATGTTTAAAAAATTGCCAAAAATCAGAGTTAAAAACAAATTGCAAATTAAGGACATGAAAAGACGCAGCTCAACGAGTTCTTTAAAATGGCTATCTCAGATTTTCCATAAAATGCGTTTTTCACCCCTAAAAATTCAAAAAACTATATTTTTTGGAAAACAGCTAATAAAATCCAAAATTTTGGGAATTTCCAAAAAACCGGAGTATATGTTGTAGAGCTCTATTAGAACATTAGATGCCCCAAATTTAAACTTTCTATCTTGATTTTTGACCCCCAAATTGTAAAAAATAGCTCCAACATGCATAGGGCATGGTGACGTCATAAGCATTTTCGCGAATTAGAGGCACTTCTGAACATCGCATGTGAAAACAAATGGCACCACTAGATTCCTGGGACAAAGCTCGTCTAGAAAAGTGCATTTTTATGTCAAAAATAAAAAGTTGAAAAATTGACCTTTTTTCTCGGCCCTCGTATAGTATAAACGATTTTTTATGCTTTCAATGCACACTTATCACCAGCACAGTGACTTGGGGTCACATATAACCATTACCATCGGATTCGGCGTGAAAAATAAGCAATAAAACATGTGTCGCACGCCCATGTAGCAGAAATTGAAAACCGTGACCTTTCGTGACCTGACCTGACCTTGACCCGTACTTAGTATGACCCCTATACGCACACGGTACCTTCACTAGGCCTTTGAGGTC